AAAATTTTCCAAGGCAAGTTTTCACCCAAAATTATATGGATTTTGTTATTCGAGAAGCAGGTTGGGTCCGCTAAGGGCTCATCTGAAATAGCGGACTTTATACATGGATTGACATCCACTTTGGGCAACGAAATTGGCAAACTGTTTATAACTAGAAAGTGCTTCTTTTGAAGACACTTATTTTGAACAGTGCAGAATTCTATTTTGGCTATTTTTGACACAAAGGCTGAACCAATGCCTGATACGGTGCATTGCACATTGTCAGTAGTATTTTGTAACTCGTTCACAAGCTGTTCTGAGACAAAATTTGACTGTGCCCCACAGTCCAGCAACGCTCGAGCACTGATTAATTTTCCAAACTTGTTCAATACTTCTAATTGTACCGTTGCTAGTCATATGTCGGAGGTACGAGCACCCGAGCTTGACTCCTTCCCAACGTGTCCAGACATTTCTTTGTCTTGATGAAGCGCGATATGATGATTTTTTCCACAAGTTTTACAAGGATAGCCTTTGCACTGCTCACCGTTGGAATGTTTTTGCCTCATGCATGAATGACAGAGATTTTCTGATTTGATAATCGTGTACCTATCAGGCAGGGTCAACTTCCGAAAATTAAGGCAAGAACTTATGTAATGACTCCCGGAGCAGTAGATGCACTTTTTAATGTTCGATATTTTCTTTTGATGCTGCACAAATCCATGAATTGTTTGGTGAGGAGCCTTCCTCTTTACTTCAACTTTTTTGCGTTCGTTTTTTGATTCAAACCCTAAACCACTCGACTCAGAATCCTTATTCTTTGAGCTCTCCAGTGATTCTAGAACTCTCCTTCTTTTGTCCAAGAATGCTAATATTTGTTCTTTCGTTGGAGTAGTTTTAGGTTTCATCTTGTTGCCCCATGCTGTAATTGTACTTTCATCAAATCTTGAAGTGACTGCATGGCATATTATGGGGTCCCAACTATCAGTATCCACTTCCATAGCTCGTAAAGTTTGTATGGTTTGATTTACACAGTTGTACATGGACTCCAAATCCTTTGCAGTCAATTTTGTTGACTTCTTGCATTTACAGACTGTGGTCATGCTCATATTCATAAGGATTTCCACTTGCCTTATTATGGTTAAATGCTTGTCTTCATAACGTTCTGTCAATGCTGTCAGCGCAATTTCATAGTTAGGCTCTGTGAAATCTAAATTCTTAATCAGTAGTGCAGGTTTGGCGCCCAATGCACATTTCAAATGATGGAATTTCAAAATTGTAGGTATTGCGGTGTTGTTATGAATGAGAGAGTCAAACATCTGCTTAAATGCTGTCCAATCACTGTACCGGCCTTCGAATTTGGGCAGATCTGGGACCTTAAATTTTGAAGCTTTAATCAAATCCACAGTTGTAACTGCATTCTGCTGCGCTGCCATACTGAGCAAATCGGTGTCAGCATTTTCGGGTCTTGATCTCAGCATTGTCTTTGCTTTGCCAATGTTGGAATAGTATCTTTGTTCGATCTGCATCAATTCTTGCTGATCAAAAAGGTCTGGATTGATTCGCTTGATGTCGTGCGCTACTCGTGCAATTTGATCCATGAAGTGACTCAAGTTATTGCATCGAGCTTCAATTCCTTCGAAATTGGGGCTTGATGATGAAACGCTGGTTTCTGTTACCACAGACTCGAAGCATTGTAGCTGGAAAATCAGTTGTTCTTTAGTAGACAGCAGGGCTTCTAATCTAGTAGTCATCTCCATGCTCGTTGACAAATTAAGCGAAAAACTCTAGGAACCTAGAGGAAGAAAGAACAGCATATATAGCATGCAATGCAACGAATAATTGGATCAGCAAAAGACATATCAATAGAAAAGGCATGCAGTGCAGCCAATAGTTGTGTCAGCAAAAGCCATACAACAAAAGAAAAGGCATGCAGTGCAGCCAATAGTTGTGTCAGCAAAAGCCATACAACAAAAGTTTTGACTGGCCAGTCTAGAGGATATCAACACTGTGAAATCCTCAAAGGATCCGAGGTATCAGCAAAAGCCATAACCTTTAAAACGATCCATCCGGTATCAGCAAAAGCCATAACCGTTCAAAATCCATGGTCTTCGCAAAAGCATAACCAAAATCCAAGGTGGTATTAGCAAAAGCCATAACCAACAACTGAGTCTCTGA